GGCGGACGATGGGGGGGGGGGAAGATAGAAAGAAAAGGGGGAGGAAAAAAGAGGAGAGGGAGAGAGGAGGAAGGACAAGGGGGAGAGAAGAAAGAAAGAAAAAGAAGTGGGAGAGAGAAAAAAGAAGGAAAGAAAGAGGGATAGAGTAAGAGAGAGAAGGAGGGGAGGATATGGGGGAAAAGAAAGAAAGGAGAAGATAGAAAGAAAAGGGTCAGAGAGGTAGGAAAAAAATAGTGTAGGGTTAGAGGGAGAGATAAAGGAAGAAGAAAGAGGGGAGAGAGGAGGAAGGACAAGGGGGAAGAGAAGAAAGAAAGAGAAAAAGAGAAGAAAAGAGAAAGAAAGAGGGATAGAGGAAGAGAGAAAAGGGAGGGAGGGAGGATCGGGGGGGGGGAGAAAGGAGAAGACAGAAAGAAAAGGGGGAGAAAAAAAGAGTTGAGGGTTAGCGGGAGAGAGAGAGAGGAGGAAGGACAAAGGGCGAGAGAAGAAAGAAAGACAAAGAAGGAAAGAAAGAAAGGGAGAGAAGGAAAATGAGAAGAGGGAGAGAGAAAAAAAGAAGGAAAGACACGATGACAGCTCTGTACACAGGTGATCGGTGACACGATGTAACACACAATGACAGGCAGGCTGAGCACTTCCGCTGGAGACAGACACGCCCCTTCTGCACCTGTCAGCGGTGGGAGGACTGGGACGAGAGGTGTGGGGACAGTCCACTGAAGTCCTCCTGCACTCCCTGTCCCAGCACAGCTCCTCCAGCCATCGCATCCTGTACACAGCCATGAGTGTCATAGAGCACAAGATCTCAGGGAAGCAGATGAGCAGCCCCCTGCAGACTGTGAGTATGAGCAGCACTACAAGTCCCAGCAGGATTCTCCAGTATGGGCAGCCAGGGGTAACAGTGAATTTCCCAGCAGGGGTCCCCAGTATGAGCAGGGGGGGGCCACTACATATCCCAGCAGGGGTACCCAGTATGAGCAGGGGTGGCAGTACATATCCCAGCAGGGGTCCCTATTATGAGCAGGGGTGGCACTACATATCCCAGCAGGGGTCTACATAATGAGCAGGGGTGGCACTACACATCCCAGCAGGGGTCTCCAGTGTGAACAGGGGTGGCACTACATATCCCAGCAGGGGTCTCCAGTATGAGCAGGGCCCGGGGTGGCACTACAAATCCCAGCAGGGGTCTACATAATGAGCAGGGGTGGCACTACATATCCCAGCAAGGGTCTCCAGTATGAGTAGGGGTGGCACTACATATCCCAGCAAGGGTCTTCAGTATGAGCAGGGGTGGCACTACATATCCCAGCAGGGGTCCCCATTATGAGCAGGGGTGGCACTACACATCCCAGCAGGGGTCCCCATTATGAGCAGGGGTGGCACTATATATCCCAGCAGGGGTCTACATAATGAGCAGGGGTGGCACTACATATCCCAGCAGGGGTCTCCAGTATGAGCAGGGGTGGCACTACATATCCCAGCAGGGGTCTCCAGTGTGAACAGCGGTGGCACTACATATCCCAGCAGGGGTCTCCAGTATGAGTAGGGGTGGCAGTACATATCCCAGCAGGGGTCTCCAGTATGAGTAGGGGTGGCAGTACATATCCCAGCAGGAGTCTACATAATGAGCAGGGGTGGCACTACATATCCCAGCAGGGGTCTCCAGTATGAGTAGGGGTGGCACTACACATCCCATCAGGGGTCTACATAATGCACTGGGGTGGCACTACAAGTCCTAGCAAAGGTCTCCAATATGAGCTGCCAATGATTGCGTTACCAGTCCCAGCAGGGGTCCCCAGTATGAGCAGGGGTGGCGCTGCAAGTCCCAGCAGGGGTCCCCAGTATCAGCAGGGGTGGCGCTGCAAGTCCCAGCAGGGGTCCCCAGTCTGTCCTGCAGCCAGTCTATGGTGGTGATCCAGCCAATGGCAGCCTGCTATCTATGAAGCTGATGAGAGTCTCTGGGTGGGTGAGTCTACTCCTCTCATCATGCCTGTCCAGAGCAGTTGTCATGGCCGACCCCTGTTGCACTACATGACTCAGCATGTCCTCCCTATGGTCACCCTGGGATATTAGAGCTGGTACATCCACAAGTCCATGCTTGTTCCCTGCTAGAACCCACAGCAGCTACAGTGACTGTTCAGCCACAGTGGAACTACAAGTTTGAGCATGACCCGTCCAGTGCCGTTGCCACAACAACCAGAAGGACTTGGGTTTGAAAACACAGGCAGCACGTAGGTCAGCTTAGCTGTTTCACCGTGTCTGTTGCTTTGTTGGGACTTGTAGTTCATCTGGCAGATTGTGATGTTGGGGAACATTTCTTTTTATCTTCTGCACATCAGGCTGCGTGGTAAATTCCATCTTTGCTCCGGCGCTCTCCTCTTCTCTACGGTGCTCTGGCGCTCTCCTCTTCTCTACGGTGCTCTCCTCTTCTCTCCGGTGCTCTCCGGTGCTCCTCCTCTTCGCTCCGGCGCTCTCCTCTTCTCTCCGGTGCTCTGGTAAATTCCATCTTTGGTCCGGCGCTCTCCTCTTCTCTACGGTGCTCTCCTCTTTTCTCCGGCGGTCTGCTCTTCTCTCCAGCGCTCTTCTCTCCAGTGCTCTCCTCTTCTCTCTGGCGCTCTCCGGTGCTTTAGCGCTCTCCTCTTCTCTCCGGCGCTCTCCTCTTCTCTCCGGTGCTCTCCTCTTCTCTCCGGCGCTCTTCTCTCTGGTGCTCCGGCGCTCTGCTCTTCTCTCCAGCACTCTTCTCTCCGGCGCTCTCCTCTTCTCTCCAGTGCTCTCCTCTTCTCTCTGGCGCTCTCCGGTGCTTTAGCGCTCTCCTCTTCTCTCCGGCGCTCTCCTCTTCTCTCCGGTGCTCTCCTCTTCTCTCCGACGCTCTCCTCTTTTCTCCGCTGCTCTCCTCTTTTCTCTGGTGCTCTGCTCTGCGCTCCGGCGCTCTCCTCTTCTCTCCGGTGCTCCGGCGCTCTCCTCTTCTCTCCGGTGCTCCGGCGCTCTCCTCTTCTCTCCGGTGCTCCGGCGCTCTCCTCTTCTCTCCGGTGCTCCGGCGCTCTCCTCTTCTCTCCGGTGCTCCGGCGCTCTCCTCTTCTCTCCGGTGCTCCTCCTCTTCGCTCCGGCGCTCTCCTCTTCTCTCCGGTGCTCCGGCGCTCTCCTCTTCTCTCCGGTGCTCCGGCGCTCTCCTCTTCTCTCCGGTGCTCCGGCGCTCTCCTCTTCTCTCCGGTGCTCCGGCGCTCTCCTCTTCTCTCCGGTGCTCCGGCGCTCTCCTCTTCTCTCCGGTGCTCCGGCGCTCTCCTCTTCTCTCCGGTGCTCCGGCGCTCTCCTCTTCTCTCCGGTGCTCCGGCGCTCTCCTCTTCTCTCCGGTGCTCCGGCGCTCTCCTCTTCTCTCCGGTGCTCCGGCGCTCTCCTCTTCTCTCCAGTGCTCCTCCTCTTCGCTCCGGCGCTCTCCTCTTCTCTCCGGTGCTCCGGCGCTCTCCTCTTCTCTCCGGTGCTCCGGCGCTCTCCTCTTCTCTCCGGTGCTCCGGCGCTCTCCTCTTCTCTCCGGTGCTCCGGCGCTCTCCTCTTCTCTCCGGTGCTCCGGCGCTCTCCTCTTCTCTCCAGTGCTCCTCCTCTTCGCTCCGGCGCTCTCCTCTTCTCTCCGGTGCTCCGGCGCTCTCCTCTTCTCTCCGGTGCTCCGGCGCTCTCCTCTTCTCTCCGGTGCTCCGGCGCTCTCCTCTTCTCTCCGGTGCTCCGGCGCTCTCCTCTTCTCTCCGGTGCTCCGGCGCTCTCCTCTTCTCTCCGGTGCTCCTCCTCTTCGCTCCGGCGCTCTCCTCTTCTCTCCGGTGCTCCGGCGCTCTCCTCTTCTCTCCGGTGCTCCGGCGCTCTCCTCTTCTCTCCGGTGCTCCGGCGCTCTCCTCTTCTCTCCGGTGCTCCGGCGCTCTCCTCTTCTCTCCGGTGCTCCGGCGCTCTCCTCTTCTCTCCGGTGCTCCTCCTCTTCGCTCCGGCGCTCTCCTCTTCTCTCCGGTGCTCCGGCGCTCTCCTCTTCTCTCCGGTGCTCCGGCGCTCTCCTCTTCTCTCCGGTGCTCCGGCGCTCTCCTCTTCTCTCCGGTGCTCCGGCGCTCTCCTCTTCTCTCCGGTGCTCCGGCGCTCTCCTCTTCTCTCCGGTGCTCCGGCGCTCTCCTCTTCTCTCCGGTGCTCCGGCGCTCTCCTCTTCTCTCCGGTGCTCCGGCGCTCTCCTCTTCTCTCCGGTGCTCCGGCGCTCTCCTCTTCTCTCCGGTGCTCCGGCGCTCTCCTCTTCTCTCCGGTGCTCCGGCGCTCTCCTCTTCTCTCCGGTGCTCCGGCGCTCTCCTCTTCTCTCCGGTGCTCCGGCGCTCTCCTCTTCTCTCCGGCGCTCTTCTCTCTGGTGCTCCGGCGCTCTCCTCTTCTCTCCGGTGCTCCGGCGCTCTCTTCTTCTCTCCGGTGCTCTCCTCTTCTCTCCGGTGCTCTCCTCTTCTCTCCGGCGCTCTTCTCTCTGGTGCTCCGGTGCTCTCCTCTTCTATCCGGTGCTCCTCCTCTTCGCTCCGGCGCTCTCCTCTTCTCTCCGGCGCTCTCCTCTTATCTCCAACGCTCTCCTCTTTTCTCCAGTGCTCTCCTCTTCTCTCCAGTGCTCTCCTCTTCTCTCTGGCGCTCTCCGGTGCTCCGGCGCTTCTTCTCTCCAGTGCTCTCCTCTTCTCTCTGGCGCTCTCCGGTGCTTTAGCGCTCTCCTCTTCTCTCCGGCGCTCTCCTCTTCTCTCCGGTGCTCTCCTCTTCTCTCCGGCGCTCTTCTCTCTGGTGCTCCGGCGCTCTGCTCTTCTCTCCAGCGCTCTTCTCTCCGGCGCTCTCCTCTTTTCTCCGGTGCTCTCCTCTTCTCTCCAGTGCTCTCCTCTTCTCTCTGGCGCTCTCCGGTGCTCCAGCGCTCTCCTCTTCTCTCCGGTGCTCTCCTCTTCTCTCCGGTGCTCCAGCGCTCTCCTCTTCTCTCCGGTGCTCCGGCGCTCTCCTCTTCTCTCCGGTGCTCCAGCGCTCTCCTCTTCGCTCCGGCGCTCTCCTCTTCTCTCCGGTGCTCCTCCTCTTCGCTGCGGCGCTCTCCTCTTCTCTCCGGTGCTCTCCTCTTCTCTCCGACGCTCTCCTCTTTTCTCCGCTGCTCTCCTCTTTTCTCTGGTGCTCTGCTCTTCTCTCTGTTTGTGAGTGTGCCATGATGCCTTTCTACTGTTCTACTGTTCAAAGCCCATTTCGTGTGCACCTTACTGTACAACTGGTAACAAATTGTTGAGTGCGTTTGTCGTTTGTTTTGCTCCTCTTCTCTCCGGCGCTCTCCTCTTATCTCCAGCGCTCTCCTCTTCTCTCCGGCGCTCTTCTCTCTGGTGCTCCGGTGCTCTCCTCTTCTCTCCGGTGCTCCTCCTCTTCGCTCCGGTGCTCTCCTCTTCTCTTTGGTGCTCCGGCGCTCTCCTCTTCTCTACGGTGCTCTGGGTTGTGGGCGGGCCATCACCATGCCCATCTACAATACACTATTGGTCCTGCATTGTATGTGATGACTGCCGTCCGAAGCGCCATAGAGAAGAGGCTTTGGGGGGGATCGGTAAAGCAAAACAAACGACAAACGCACTCAACAATTTGTTACCAGTTATTCCCAATTTGATATCTTCTGCCCCATGTGCTCCAAGATGGAGACTCTCATAGTTTAGAGTTAGGACCGCACTATAAGAGGTGCCTTGGCGCGGCAGTGCGGCTTACACATCCTTTGCAGAAGACGTGTATCCAAACCTCTGTCATTGTCCTTAGTGGTGAGACAAGTTGTTTTACATGCTAGTTTGTGAGTGTGCCATGATGCCTTTCTACTGTTCTACTTTGGGGGGG